TGGTGATGAGGTCCCGTCGACCTTGCAGCGGTGCGACGGAGATCCGGTCCGGCGAGAACTTGAAGTAGCCGTACGCCGGTGCAATCCTGCCCGCCGTCACGTGTGTTGTCACCGAGAGCCCTCCACCACTTCGTGGAGGAGAACGGCGTCGAACATCGACGTCGGCATGCGAGCTCCCTACAGCAGCCGTCGACCGCTGCACTCGCGCCTGGATTCCGTCGACACCACCGTCGACCTTGATCACTCCTCTCTGCCTCGTGCCTTTGCTGCCGCTGACTCGTGCACCACCGTCGACCTCGTCGTCGACGCCACCTTCGTTGCGCACCGGTCGAGGAGAAGCAGGACGGGAAGGGTGTTCCGTCGCCCACTGCGACTGGATGCCCAACTCGGCGATCACCAAGGGGATCATCCCGTACTCGCCATCCGCGTGGCGTTTCCTCGCGTCAGCAAAACGTGCCTCCAAGGTGTCCGCTACACCCGCATCAACTACGGGGTCGACCATGGCGACTATCGCTGCTGCCGGCCTACGAACGACTTAGTAGGTGCAAAAGTCGGCTCCTATCTGAAGGTCGCGTGTTCGATCCACGCTCACCGCACTATGCGGAGATTCACTCTACAAAGGTAGTGAGCTAGACTACGGGGTTGGCACGAACAACTAGAGGTGATCGTAGCTTTCCTTGGTTCCTTAGTGCTTGCACATTCACGGGAGAAAACTGCAAGAGTTTTCACTAGCAAAGTTGGAATACAAGAATAATGAAACAAGCAATGACAACAATGACTATATCACGCACCTAGCAACCCTGCTGCTAGCCTGGTCGACCGCTAGGACAGCTCATTCGATCGCCTGCCAGCGTTGCGTAGAGGAGCCGCGCCAGCACTGCAGAAAGGCGACCTGCCAACGTAGCAGGTCCACAGCGTGCCAACGCTGCAGCAGAGCGGCTGTCCAGCGTTGCCGCGTAGAACACAACAGTGTGACGCTCGCAGGTGTGCGCAGGTGACTGGCCCGACTTGCCTCGTTGGGCATTCGTCGGCTGTTGTCTGCGCCTGACGAGCCATATCGACTCCGGGATACCAGCCCGCAGTCGCCTGCGCCATCGCAACCTCGACGACGTTCGAGTGCCTCCGCAGAACTCGTCGAGCAGGTTACTCGGTCGACCCGGTCGACCACCAGGTGCTTCCGGTCGACCACCACTGCTTCTGGTCGACCAACAGGTCCCTCTGGTCGACCACAACTCCTGTCGAGCTACCCCCTGGTCGACGGACCCCTTCCGTCGACCAAAACCATTAGCGGTTGTCGTCGAGCTCCCCTCTGACAAAGTTTGAAGAAAGAAAGAGGAATGAACTAGCAGAAATGGGGATACAAATAGCAAACCCTAGAAGGGTTGTACTCGCTATAGAGCACCCCACTACAGGCTAGAACATAAGAATAATATTCTGACACACCCCCATAGCCAAAGTGGGGTGTAATCAGCAGAGCAGGCAAAGCAAAACAAGCTCAGAGTGGATCACAATGTCACCACACATTCTGAGCACAAGTTCAAGAAGAAATAGTTTTGAGTTCACAATTATAAGCAAAGCTAGTGGTAGTCACAACGGGCAAGTGAGGAGGAGGAGAGAGAGTGAGGGGAGAGGAGACAGGAGGCGACGGCTGAAGCTGCAGACACACGGGCAACAGGAGGCAGACTGGCACAGCGGCTACCGGACAGCGCCCGGACTACAGGAGTAACAGGCCCCGCGGCTCAAATAGCGGCGGACGGGCAACGGACCCACGGGCGGCTGGCACAGCTGGCTACGACTGGGCTACCGGGACAGCGCCCCGGACTACACGTGCTGCGGACGACAAGCCGGCAGCCTCCGCTCAACCTCCCGCAAACAGTCCCACCCCCCTGATACACACCCACTGCTACACCGCTAGCTCTACTCCCACGCACCCCCCCTTAAACCCTAAACCCCAGTCTCCCACACAACCACCCCCTTCAGCGACAGCTGCAGCAGTGGGAGACGAAGGAGGAGGAGCAAGGGAGGAAGGCACACCGGCCACCCCCATACCCGCCACCCGACGGGCGACGGGAAATGGCAGGGGGAAGGGGGGGGGGGGGGGGGGGGGGGGGTGTGGTGAAAGGGGCCCACCACGGGCCTGGTTGGAGGGCGGGGCCGCGACAAGGGGCGGGACCGCGACGGTCGAGGCGGGGCCGCGACAAGGGGCGGGGCCGCGACGTAGGGCGGGGCCGCTTCGAGGGGCGGGGCCGCGACGCAGGGCGGGGCCGCGACGTAGGGCGGGGCCGCGTCGAGGGGCGGGGCCGCGACGGTCGGGGCGGGGCCGTGACATAGGGCGGGGCCGCTTCGAGGGGCGGGGCCGCGACGCAGGGCGGGGCCGCGACGTAGGGCGGGGCCGCGTCGAGGGGCGGGGCCGCGACGGTCGGGGCCGCTTCGAGGGGCTGGGCCGCGACGCAGGGCGGGGCCGCGACGTAGGGCAGAAGCCCGCCGCGCGCCTCGGGGCGCACAGCGGGCAAAGAACCGCCGCGCGCCTCGGGGCGCACGGCGGGCAGAAAACCGCCGCGCGCCTCGGGGCGCACGGCGGGAGGAAAAAGTAGCAGCGGAAGCGAGGTGGTAACCCACCCACAGGATCGATCCAAGGGGATCGACCTGCTCTAATAGCATGACAAAGTTTGAAGAAAGAAAGAGGAATGAACTAGCAGAAATGGGGATACAAATAGCAAACCCTAGAAGGGTTGTACTCGCTATAGAGCACCCCACTACAGGCTAGAACATAAGAATAATATTCTGACACCCTCGTCGACCGCTGCTCACTTGTCAGGTCGTCGGACTGCTCCGTCAACCTCCCGGTCGAACTGCAGGTCCTGGTCGACGTCCCACCTGTCGCCCAGACCAGTCAGTTGCAGCTGTCGAGCTCCCTAGTCGACAGCAACACCACAGCGGTCCTCTGCAGCTCGACGAAGCCTGTCTAGCAGCTCTCCCACTGTGAACGGTCGGTTGCTACTTCCGTACATCCGACCATGTCGTTGGCGTTGCCCAAGCGAGGGCGGGGCCAACACTCCATTCCTGTTAACAGACAGCTCTCCTTGGCTCCAATTCGGTTGAACAGGCTCAGGAGGCTCAAACAACTGGAGGTTATTGACTGCCACTCACTGCGTGAATCCATCCAATTTCTGCCGCCCTTTCTTGAGAAGCTGAGCCTTGCGACCAGCGACAGCACTGCCCCTCTTGTGGCAATGCCAATGCTGCCAGAGCTGAGACATTTAAGTCTATCTTGGGTCCGTGTGGACCAAGCACTTAAACTCAGCGAAAGCTTGTCGGGTCTGAGGCATTTGGAGCTGTTCTTAGAGAAAACTGCAACAGAGCTTCCATTCCCGCTGGCATCCCTTCCCCACCTGCGCACCTTGGCGATCTATCATGCTGCCAAGATTCCCCGACTGGAAGAGAGTATCGGCTCAGCTCTGCAGGAGCTAAAGGAGCTAGAGATACACAATGCTGCGGAATTGGCTGAGTTGCCGGAGAGCATTGTGGAGCTGCAGCAGCTGACTTCATTGGAGGTTCATGCATGCAGCAGCCTGGCTTCCCTCCCAGAAGGCATCGGTGCCTTGACCAGGCTGCGCAAACTGACCGTGTCGGATTGCAAGGCATTGATGCAGCTTCCTGCTTCTCTCACCCACCTCTCATGCCTGACTGAGCTCGATCTTTCCTCCGCCCGCATCGACTCGCTTCCTCCCCACTTTGTGCGGCTGGGCAGCCTAAGGCGGCTAGTCTTGGATGGGTGTTGGCGGCTCACGGCGCTGCCGTGTGACATGGCTGAGTTGAAGATGCTGCTGTATCTGGGTGTTAAGCGGTGCAAGCAGTTGCTGGATCGTGATGGGTATGTAAAGCCCAGTAGCTCGGATACTAGTTAAGTGCTTCAAATAGGGCTTAAGTGAGTTAGTGGACATCACTGAGTGGCTTGCTTGGAACCACAAGAGGTTTGAATCTGTAAAGCAAACATGCTGCTGAGACATGTTGCCCATGTTTATGTAGTTGCTGCTGCACATGTTCCTGTACTTGCTTATATGTTGTGCCTTTGTATGCACCTGTATGACTTCCTCTGGTCTAGAAGGCAGAGCTGAGATTTCATGTTGAGGAGAAAGACAATTGAAGATATGCTTTGCATTACCGTATTCTCTCGGACATAACACCCTAGGGTATAGCTAAAAATTCAGGGAAAAAATGGGGGGGGTCTCCTCATAGGAAAAAAATACATAATACCCGGGTCTTTACATATGGCATATTTTAGTGTTAGTGTTTTTTTAATTAGTCAATGTGGGTGTTTTGCTGGTCGTTTTAGCATCACTGCCTGAGGCGCGAATGTGAGTTTCGGCCTCGAACTTCATCGCCCCCACGAAAATGGCATGTGGCACCTCTCTTGCCACTTGCAACGGAAGATTCACCTGCACGTGGCGACAGAGAAATACTGTCATCACCCGGATATAAGACAGTGTTGAATAGTAGACAGGGGTTGTCTATTATACGGGTGTCTCTTATAAACGGGGTAGCCTCATTATAAGACACCTATTTGTGTGTAGGGGCAAATGGCAAATGTATAACGAGGAAGTATCTTCTAAACGGATTTTTGTCCATTTATAAGACTGATTTTTTTAATGCATGAGATAAGACATACATGTCTTATATCCGGGCGATGACGGTAGTGGGAGGGGGCAAATCTCGGCAGATTGCCTTTGAATGTACCGCGAAATTTCATCGAGGGAGAAATTCACACGATATTCTTCCGCTACTCGTTAACGACTATAATAATGAATCCGTAAGAAAAGGGGGGTGTTATAGAAAATCAGCCAAAAAGGGGGGTATAGTAGAAACGAGGTCTATCATAACACCCACCCCGCACAAGCTACCCGGGGGTGTACAATTATGGGGGGGTGTTTTGTCCGGGAGTATACGGTATGTTAATTCCAGTAGTTCTATAGCTAATCAAATATTGTACATCAGCTTGATCACTCGTCATCATCATCACACAAGTCAATTATTTCCTCATCATCATCTACAGCCACCACTGCCGGCTCAGCTCCACTCATCTGTTGCTGCTCTTGTTTCACATCCGGCACACCTTCCCCTTGTAACACCAGCTGCTGCTGCTGCTGCTGCTGCTGCTGCTGCCCCAACGGCTGCTGCTGCTGCTCCTGCTTTTGGGACCTTCCATCAAGTGGGCTCTCCACATGAGCCTCCTCTTTGCCTGCACCACCCGAGTGCTTCTCACCGGAGCAGCTCTGCTCACCATTCTCCTCTGTAGCCCGCTTCCCATCCACACTCTTCTTCCCACCACCCTGTTCCACAACAGCGTGATTTTCATCAGGCCCTGAAGCACCACTTGCTTTGCTGCCTGCCGCGTGCTTCCCCCCAGCGTGGATGAGAGGGGCGCCAGTCGCTTGCACACCCGCACTGCCCTGCTCTGCCACTGAAGGCACTGCAGGCGGTATCTCAGGTGACTGCAACGGCTGCACAGGAGGGGATCTCTTCAAAGAGGATCTCGTCAAACGTGCTTCAGTGGGAGGTAATTTTGGTAAACGTGTTCTTGCGGGAGGTGATTTCGCCGAAGCTGGTTTTGCCGGGGTGATTTCGCCGAGGCTGATTTTTCCAAAGCTGGCTTTGTTGGTAGTGCAGGGACCACCTCCGCAACCGTGTTGTCATTCTCTGCTGGCACTCCAGCGGCCTCCTGGCCAGATCCCATTGCCTTTTCTGGAGGCGCAACAGGCTCTTTGACAACCGGCTCCCCTCTCTCTGCTGGCACTCGAGCCAACTCTTGGGTCAATGCGAGAGACTTTTTCGGGGGTGCTACAGGAACTTGAACAACAGAGTGCTCTCTTTCTGGTGACACTTCCACCACCATCTCATCACCTCCTTCTGGGGGCTCCTCACTCTCCTGCCTCTGCTTTGTCTTCCCCCCTCCTCTGGACTCCGTTGTTCCCTTCAGTTGCTCTGCTTCAACCCCCTCTCCTCGCCCCTTTACGGTTCGGATCCTCGTCTGTTGCACCTCTTGAGGTGATTCTTTCTCTCGGGGTCCCCGTGCTTGTTTGACACCATCCCCGTGATCCTTCCCCACAGCGCTGCCTCCGCCATCCACACCACCGCCTGATTGACCCTGCGTGGTTGGCTCCTTGTGGCCCTGCGTGATTTGCTTCACAGAACCACCGTCAGCAGAAAGAGACCCTGCAGGAGGAGCAGGAGGAGTGGCAGAACCAGCAGGAGCAGCAGGAGCGGCAGTGCTAGCAACAGCCTTGGGTTCTTCACTACAATCTATTGCTGCACCAGACGCCCATGCTGCACCAGACGGCCCTGCTGCACCAGACGGCCCTGCTGCACCAGATGGCCCTGCTGCACCAGACGGCCCTGCTGCACCAGATGCGCCTGACCTCTCACGCTCTGCTGCTCCAGAAGGTATTGTTTTGAGCTTAGCAGAAGCATCAGCCGTAGCGCCACTCACCTCCGCTGTCTCACTCCCTGCTGCTGCTACAGCCGGGTCACGTGAGCGCGTGGCAGATGCAACCTCTCTTCCTTTCGTCGATACAGCCTCATCGGCAATATTCGCAGGGCCACTCACACTCTCCCTGGCTGCTACAACCTCCTCCCCAGGATCAGCACATGCATTGTCCCAAGCCGCTCCCACCGCTACAGCCTCGACCTTGGAATCGGAAGGTGGATTATCCCCCTCTGCTACAGCTGCCTCCGCTTCGGCATTGGAATCAGAGGATGCATTCTCCCCTGCAGCTGCCTCAGCTTCTGCGTTGAGCCGGCGGATGAGCGCTACATACGGGTCACACTCCGCCTCCTCTTGCGGCTCCTGGGAAGTAGATTCAGAGCGGTTCTGAGCTGCTGCTAATCCAGCTTCGGACTGGTTCTGAGGGGCCTTGACGGAGGAGGTAGCTTGCAGGCGACTGGCAAGGGCAGCAGCTGTGGTAGCCGCTGGAGCAGCAGCAGCATGCGTGGCTGGAGTGCCGATTACATATGGCTCTGTCCATGGCACACTGCCCTTGGGATCCTGCTGCTCTTTTTTCTGCTGCTGCTGCTGCCGCTGCTGCTGCTGCTGTTGTTTCTGCTGCTCGTTTTGCTGCGGTAGCTGGTGTGATTGAGCCTGAGTTTGTTGTTGTTGAGTCTGCAGCCCCTGCTGCAACTGCATCACAATATCCTGCTGCTCCTTCTGCCGCAGCCGCTGCTGCTGCAGCTGCTGCCGCATCCCCACCCCCACCTGCTGCTGCTGCTGCTGCTGCTGGCGGCTCTTTAGTTCAGTTACCACCACGTCAATTGCAGTCTGAATGGTATCTGCAGTCACACCTGCCCCAGTGCTACCTGCATCTGCTGCTGTAGTGCGGTTCAGCTGGGACAGCCTTGCAGACTCACGCAGGCAGGCGAACGAGGCAGGCAGGGAAGAGGCGAGGGCGGGAGATGAGGCAGGCAGGGAGGAGGAGAGAGAGGAAGAGGCATTGTGTTTTTGTTCAGAGCGGCTAGTGAGACCTGAGAGATGCTGCTGCTGCTGCTGTTGCTGGTTGGATGCACGTAACTGTTGCTCTAGCTGCTGCTGCAACCGCTGTTGTTGCAGCAACTGCTGCTTCTGCTGCTCCTGCTGCTGCTGCTGTTGGTACAAGGCTCGTAACTGTTGCTCCAGCTGTTGCTGTTGCTGCTGCTCTTGCTGTTGTTGCCGCAGCTGCCGCAAATGCTGCTCCTGCTGCTGCTGTTGCAGCTGGTACAAGGCACGTAGCTGTTGCTCTAACTGTTGCTGCTGCGATTGCTGCTGCTGCTGCGGCTGCACCTGCTGCAACTGCTGCTGATACAAAGCACGCAACTGCTGCTCTAGCTGCTGCTGCTGCTCCAGCCGTTGCAATCGCTCCTGCTGCCGCAGCTGCTGCTGCAACTGCATTTGCTGCAGCCGCTGTTGCTGCTGCTGCTGCCGCCGCTGCTCCTCCTGCTGCTGCAGCAGTTGCTGCTGCTGCAACTGTCCCTGCGCTTGAGGCTGAACAGGGTCTTGAAACAACTTCTGGTACAGCTGCTCTATCTGCTGCTGACGAGTCAGTCTTTCTGGCACATCCTCTCTCTCTTGCTGCACCTGCTGCTGCAGGGTCGGATTGCTGGCCCTGCTGCTCCCATGCCCTGGGGCCTGTGCTGTGTGCCGTGGTTGAGTCGCCTGTACTGCTGCCCGTGGCACTTGTCTCTCCTGATTCAACTGCACACTTGCGTGTGCTGCATGTGGTGCATGTGACACATGCGCTGCTTGTGCCATGTGTGCTCCATGCGACACACGCGCTGTTTGAGCTCCATGTGCCATGTGCGATGAAGATGGCGCCTTCGCTGCAGTAGCAGCCACACCACCAGGTACACGACTTGCAGCAGCACTGGCAGCAGCGCGGGAGGTGGTGGTGGTGGCAGTGGTGGCAGCAGTTGCAGCGGCGGCAGCTGCAGTGGTAGCAGCAGCAGTGGTCTTGTGGTGGTATTCGAGGTTGAGAGCGCGGCACAGCAGCTCCACACGCCGCTTGCAGAACTCCACCACGCGCTTCTGCGCCGCGTTCCATGCCAGGTGCTCCTCCCGTGTCCACGGCCGTAACCGCTTGCCTGCTGGTATGCCTCCGCCTGTTGCTGCTGCTGGTAGTTGTTGTGCTGCTGGTGCTGCTGTTGGTGCTGGTGGTGCTGTTGCTGTTGCTGTTGGTGCTGGTGGTGCAGATTGTGCTGCTGTTGGCACTGATGGTGCTGCTGTTGGTGCCGCTGCTGATGCTGATGGTGCTGCTGACGCTGCTCCTGGCACCCTCTCTGGTTCTGCTTTCGCTGCTCCCCTGTCCGCTGCTTCCTCCTTCGTTTCCTCCTTCCCTCCCTCCATTGCTTCCCCCTTCACTTCTCCCTTCACTTCCGCCTTTGTTTCCTCCTTCGTTTCATCCTTTGCTTCCTCCTTCATTTCCTCTCTTTCTTTCGTTTCCTTCTCACTTGCTCCCTCCTTCGTTTCTTCCTTCACTTCTTCCTTCAATTCCTCCTTCACTCCCTCTGTTCCTTCCTCCATCGTCACGCGCTTATCAGCATCATCGACACCACTAGCACCACCATCAGCACCACTGGCACCAGCAGCAGCACTTGTTTTAGCTTTCAAACCCGCAATCATGCGATCCCCCTCAGCACCCTCTTGCACTGTTGCCGCCTTCCCCTCTGCTCTCCCCTCCGCCCTAGAACCTGCCACGTCACCCATTGCAACCTCCCCACCACCAACCACTCCCCCAGGGTTGGTTGTCACAGCATCAGGTTTGGTGGGTGCATCAGCAGGACCGGTGGTCGAAGCAACAGGATTGGTGGTCACCGCACTAGGTCTGGTAGGTGCATCACCAGGATTGGTGGGCTGGGCAGCCGAGGTGGCAACTGGGGTAGGTGGATTCGCCGGGATGTCCTCAAGGGAAAGGCCAATCATGTTGCGGGGCGGGGCGGGCGGCAGCAACAGCTCAGCGCGTGCCACGTCAGCGAGGCCCAATTTATCGTCGTTGATGATGTCACTCCACCGCCCGTAGCCGTGCCTGCGCAGGAGGGATGGGGCGAAGGTGAGGTGGAGAGGCGGTCATAGATTGGGGGGGAGAAGGGAGAGTGATGTCAGGCAGAAGGAAGAATGGAAAGCACGGGTGTGCCTGGCAAGTGGTCACTTCACACCGGCGGCAAGTGGCATGGCTAAGAGCGGTCATTGATAATGCCACGCCACTCCACCACTCGTAGCCGTGCCTGCGTGGAATTGAAAAGGCAGGCAGGGTTTTGGGGGAGGGTTGAGACGGAGTGATGGCAGGCAGGCGCAAGCAAGGCAGGACGAGAACCACATGGGTGCGTCACTACACCTCCCAAAGCACACTTGGTAATTTCTTTGAGAGGCTGCAGGTCATGCTGAGGATATGTGAAAGTGAAATGCATGCACAAGGGCCACTCACTTGGTGATGCCTTTCAGCAGCTGCAGGTCGTGCTCGGCCCGCCAGTGCCGCGTGCGGAACAGCGGCGCCAACTGGCTGTGACTCTTCAGGTGCTCTGGTAGCCCCGGCAGCAACTCCTCCCAACCCAGCTCCACCGCTTCTGCTTCTTTTTCCAACCCGTCCTCCTGCTCACCCTCCTTCTTTCTACCCTCCTTCTTTTCACCCTCATCCTTACCACCCTCCACCTCGCCCTCTCTCCTCCCTCCCTTGTCGCCCTCTCCCTCTCCCCTCACTTCCTCTCCCTTCCCTCCCTCTCCCTTCCCTTCCTCTCCCTTCCCCCCCTCTCCCTTCCCTTCCTCTCCCTTCCCTCCCTCTCCCTTACCTCCTTCTCCCTTCATACCCAGATCAACGTTTCCCTCTTCCCGCTTCTCAGCCCCCTTCGCATTTCCCTCCACGCCCTCCATCTCTGAACGCCCATCCCCCTTCCCTTCCCCCGCCACCCCTCCACGCCCCCCCTCTCCCTTCTCATCCCCTTCCCCACCACCCAAAGTCACGCCCTCCATTTCTGAAGGCACATCCCCTTTTCCTTCGCCCACCGTGCCTCCGCACACTTCCTCACCCGCCTTCCTAACAGCCTCTTCGTTCCCAAAAGGTGCTGCTGCTGCTGCTGCTGCCTCTTTTGTTGCTGCGCCTCCCGCTGCTGCCTCTGCGACCCTACACTCCACACCACTCGCGTCTGCATCCCTCTCTTCCACACCCCTTCCCTCTGCACTCCCACCCTTGGCCAGCCTCCTCGCCCTGACCCTCTCCCGCAGCCTCTCCCGGGTGCTCTCAGCCGCGGCCACCTTGGTGCGAATGAGGTGCAGCAGGGCCAGGCGGATGAGCACCTCCTGCGGATTCACGCCCTCCTTGGGCACTCCGTCTGGTGGCGGGGGGAGGACGAAGGAGGTGGGGAGGGAGGAGAAGAGGAGATGGGGATGGGGATGGGGGAAGTGAGAGGGGAAGGAGAGGGGAATGAGATGCAGAAGGGCCAGGCGGATGAGCACCTCCTTGGGACTCACGCCCTCCTTGGGAACTCCGTCTGGTGGAATGGGAAGGGGGAAGGGGAGAGAGGGGTAGGTTAGGGAAGAGGAGAAACAAGAGGAACACTCCTAGTTGACTCAGACACCGCAATATTCAAGTACAGGTATGTTGAAGATATATTTGCAGGTCCGTTGGTGGTTCAAGCATCTGAGGAGATCAATACCAGGGTGCCGCAACCAAGGGACGGGTCATGACAAGGAGGAGGAGCGAGAGTAGGGGACACAGGAAGCATGAATGAGGTTACAAGAATGAATGAAAGGTGGGTCACGTAGGATAGAAGAGCGATGATCGTACTGGGTGCACAGTGCAGCAGTGCTACATGCACAGTGCTACATGCACAGTGCTACATGCAGCGGTGCAACATGCACGGTGCTACATGCACGGTGCTACATGCACGGTGCTACATGCACGGTGCTACATGCACGGTGCTACATGCACGGTGCTACATGCACGGTGCTACATGCACGGTGCTACATGCACGGTGCTACATGCACGGTGCTACATGCACGGTGCTACATGCACGGTGCTACATGCACGGTGCGACATGCACGGTGCTACATGCACGGTGCTACATGCACGGTGCTACATGCACGGTGCTACATGCACGGTGCTACATGCACGGTGCGACATGCACGGTGCTACATGCACGGTGCTACATGCACGGTGCTACATGCACGGTGCTACATGCACGGTGCTACATGCACGGTGCTACATGCACGGTGCTACATGCACGGTGCTACATGCACGGTGCGACATGCACGGTGCGACATGCACGGTGCTACATGCACAGTGCTACATGCACGGTGCTACATGCACGGTGCTACATGCACAGTGCTGACGCCAGAATGGGCTGCAATCGCGCGTGCTCGTATAGACACAGAGGTGAAGCCTTTTGACTTCAGTGTGGACCTCCAGGCTGCACGCCATGCAGGGCGTTGCATGCACAGTGCAACATGATGGACTGCAATCGCGCATGCAGAAAGGTGAAGCCTTTTGACTTCAATGTGGACCTCCAGGCTGCACGCCATGCAAGCGTGACGGAAGCAGAACGTGAGCAACTCTTACTGTTGCATCCTGAATCAGCTAGCAGCGTTTAGGAGCTTCTGGTCGCTATTTCACTGGACGTGATGACTTGGCTGATGACTCTGGGAGGATGAGATAGGATGACTGGCATAATCAACCAGGTCATCATGTCGTGTGCAATATCGAGAGGAAGCTCTAACACGCAGCCAGCTGATTCATGATGAAACAGCAGCATGAGTTGTCATGTCACACGTACCGCTTTCTTCATGCCTGCATGGTGTGTGTGCAGCCTGACCCATTAAAGTCGAAAGGCTTCACCTCTGTGAGCCTGGTGATCACTGAGCAACTGAAATGGAGTACCATTCAACGATTTTTTAGGCACGTCAAGAAACGATTTTTGAGGCGCCTCAAGAAAGGCTTCACCTCTGTGACGTGAGCGAGCCTGGTGATCACTGAGTAACTGGAATAGAGTACCATCCAACAGAACGGAACGCAATTGCGCGCGCTCGCATGGTGAAGCCATTGGCAGCAGTTGAAGGGGTAGGGGGAGGACGAGGCAAAGGCAGGGCACCTGAGAATGTGTCTTTGCTGGTTGGATCTTCTTGGATGTGCTTCAGATAAAGGGCACCGTAGCTGATGGACGGGGAGACGGATGATCGGAAGAAGCGTGATTCAGAATAATGGCAGGATGAGAGAGCATAGAACAAAACAACAACAAAACAACACACAACCATTCAAGAGCATAGAAATTCATCATTGGAAGATGAAAACAACAGAGAATAAACAGCAGAGAATAGTAGACGCACATGCAGATCGGCTCAATGTTGTGATTTCCTGCAATTGAGAGATTAATAAAGTCGGCTCAGAAGTAACTAAGGCCTTCATAGTCTGCTTGGTGCCTGACAGGAACTCCTTTCCAGTTGGAGCGAAACAAGGTGTCTTCTTAGTAGACACAAAAGCGCACCTGTGAAACTCAGAACTCTAATGTGAGACTCGAACTCACTCTTTTATCTCCTGCAGGGTGCGCGGCTTGAGTCGAGGCACGAACTCCTTCCAGCTGAAATCACCGATCCCGAACCTGCAGCAACAATTACAGGGAGTGGAGGGCAACAAGAGGTTGTAGCAAGGAGAGGGGAAGCAAGATGCTGGCAGGCATGCATGAGAACCCCAAGCGCCATCCCCCCAAGCAAGCACAGATTCCCCCACACTCACCGCATGATGAGCTGCTGGAAAGTCATGCGCTGCTTGGATGTGAATCTCAGCACCTTGGTGTACGGCCATGCCCCCTCCATCACATTACATGCTGGTGACTGACAGACAGGTGAAACCCATGCATGTGACCCCAAGCGCCCTTCCCCACACTCACCGCATGATGAGCTGTTGGAAGGTCATGCGCTGCTTGGATGTGAATCCCAGCACCTTGGTGTACGGCCATGCCCCCTCCATCAACGGCCACACTTTCCTCCTCACTTCCCCTGCACTCCCCCCTCCTCCCGCCCCTCCCACAGCAACACCAGGAGAGGTAGCGGGAACCGGCTTCCCGTACCTAACCTTCCTCTTCCTACCCCTCCCCATACTCTCCTCCTCAAGCTCCACATCACTCTCCCCATCCTCCCCGTCGTCCTCCTCCCCATCCTCATCATATGCCTCATCCCCCTCCCCTTCCCCCCCTTTCTCCCCCTTCCCCCCTCTCTCCCCCTTCTTACCCCCCGCCTGCTCCCCTCCTCCTCCCCATCAACCGTGTAATCCACATGTCGTCTCGCCCGCCTTCCCTTCCCCAGCTCCAAAAACGCCTCTATTTGTTCCGCCTCGTATTTGTCTTTCAGCAGTGACTCCCAGTACGCGGCTCTTCCTGCAGCGTCTAAGCGTTTGCCGTCTCTCTCCCCCTCCCCTGCCAACTCCTGTTCTCTTTGCCTTTCCCGCTCCAGCTCTCTCTCCTTCTCTGCGTCCGCCTCAGCTTGATCTGCTTCGGATACAAAGCTGAAATTGGCAACCTGCAGTGGCAGGGAACGTTTGGCAATAGAGAGAGGGCAAGATCGTTTCACCACGAGATTACTCGATTTTAACTGAAACCTTGAAATCACTTTCAGAACCGATAGGGTATGACATAGCAGAAACGGCATCGATGTTTTTCAACTGCCTTGAAGCCCTTGGGTGGGATATTGACACTTGAGGCGTTTAGTTGAAGTAAGTTAGTGGACTTGTTGCGGTTACATTGAAGGCCTTGAGAAAATCGTTGACAGGCTCATCCCTTTTTTTCGAGCACTAAGTTAGAAGTGCTCGAGATATCAACAAATAAGGCGTTCAGTTGAAGTAACATCTCAGACCTCCTGCGATTACGTTGAAGGCTTTGAGGTAGTTCTGTCCTTGTCAGGCTCATCCCTCTTTTCAGGTGCCTTAAGTCCTTTGAGATCCCAACATTTGGCGATCTTCTTAGAATTACCTTGAATGCCTTGAGGTAGTCGTTGTCCGGCTCATCCTCCGCCCGCTCCTCGCCCACTGTGCTGCGATCCAACAGCCTAGAGGGAGGCCAGTGGGGAAGGGGGGGAGGACAGGAGGTGAGAGAGGGAGGTGCACGGGGCACTACACCTTGAATGCCTTAAGGTAGTTGAGTCATTGTCCGGCTCATCCTGCGCCTGCTCCTCGCCCACTGTGCTGCGATCCAACAGCCTGGGAGCAGGCCAGAGGGGGGGGAGGGGGAGAACAGGTGAGAGAGGGAGAAGGAATAGAGTAGAGGCACCTTAGAAGCCGCCTGCTCCTCGCCCACTGTGCAGCGATCCAACAGCCAGAGACTGGAAAGAGAAAAAACGGAGGAAGTGAGAGGGAGGAGGAGAGAAAAGCGAACGGGATTGGGGAGAAGGGAGAGCAGCAGAGCAGAGGAGAGAGGAGGGGTTGAGCAAGGGTACAAACAATGAAAAGCTAAAGGAAGTGGGCTGGAAAAGGGGGTGGAAGAGATGGAGAGGGAGGGTAGGTTGAGGGGATGAATGCCTTTAGGGGAAGACGTGGGGTGGGGATAACTGTTGAAGCACACGTCCCATGCCCTCTGAGGTTGTTGCTCATTCAACTCTGACATGCCCCATGCCCTATAAAATGCACATGGCGCAACAAACGCACCTCTCAATAGCAGCATCATCGTAGTAGATCCGCCGGCTCTCCTTCTGCTTTTCTTCTCCTTCAGTTTCTCGTCCCCGGCTGCTCCTTTCTCAGCATCCTTGTCAGCATCCTTGTCAGCATCCGTGTCAGCATCCTTGTCAGCGTCCTTGTCAGCATCCTTACTGCCTTCTCCAGCCTTGTCTCCTGCCACCTCCCCACCACCTTCCTCCTCTTTCTTCCCCTCTCCCTCCTTTGCCTCTTTCCCTTCTTCCCCTTCCTCCCCTCCTTTCCCCTCGTCCTCCTCCTCATCATCCTCTTCAAACAACTCCTTTGCTCCGAATCGCAAAATGTCATCCAACTCCTCCTGTACAGGAGCAAAGGTGCACACAGCAACAGCCACGCACACCAGCAACAGGTGCACGCATAGCAACAGGTGCACACAGTTTGAAACAAGAAGAAGCCCATTTGTCAGATGCGATGTGACATAATAAAATACTCAACCGGTTGAGGTGTCGTGTCGCATTAACCTTGTTGGTTAGGATGAGGCACCACACCCACCTGGTTGAGGTTGGATTGTTTGAGCTTCCCCACCACCACATGCTCCAGCACCATCTTCTTCTTGCTCATCTGCACCATTCGCTCCTCCACTGTTGCCCGCGTCACCAGCCGGTATATCATCACCTGTGATGGAGTGGCAGATGGAGCACCGCATACACACGCGGCACAAATACACACAGAGAGGCACGAACTTGAGAGTGCCGAGTGTGCTTGGCCCTGGCAAGCAGGGATGAGAAAGCATTTGCGTCTCATCAAATACACAGGGGAATGCCTCGTACGGAGTGGCAAAAACTTGCATACGCACGCACTGCACACGGAACGCACATATGAGTGTGCATGGTCAGTCCCTCACTCACTCACACCCATTGCACCCACCCACTCTGCCCCACTCTCCCCCCTCCTCCACCAACCCCCCCACACACACACACACGCACGCCCCTACGCCCGCCCGCCCACCCGCATGCACGCACACACCCCCCTTACCGTTTGGGTCTGCCCCAGCCTGTGCGCGCGAGCCATGGCCTGCAGATCTGCATGCGGATTCCAGTCACTGCCATGGGGCAGGGAGAATGGGTGAAAAGTGGGGAAAGGGGGTAGATGGGAGTAAGCGGGTGGGGGGAAAAGAGGGAGGGGAGAGTGGTGCTAGAGGCTATTGAGAGCATATGGCGAGCCATGGCCTGCAGGTTGGCGTGCGGGTTCCAGTCACTGCCAGGGGGGTGAGGTGACAGAGCAATACTGCCACCCCACCACTACTGCCACCGCACCACTACTGCCACCCCACCACTACTGCCACCCCACCACTACTGCCACCCCACCACTACTGCCACCCCACCACTACTGCCACCCCACCATATGGGGTAAATATACTCATAGTGCCGGGCCAGGCCCCATTGCGAGTTGAAAGGAGTCTATTCTTGAGGCGCCTCAAAAGTGTGATGAGTCTATTTTTTAGTCGACTCAGAATGAGGTACCTTACGAAGAGACTACTCACAGTGCCGGGCCGGGCCGGGCCGGGCCGGGCTGGGCCCCATTGCCGAGTTGAAAGGGAGCAATACAGAGCAGCCGGACCCTGATAAAGTGAAGCTACAGCCAGAGTCTAAACTCTCAGATTACCTACCTGTCCTGTCCCATACAATCTCATTCTTTCCGCAGCCGTTGTATATCTGTAACAGCAGTGGCCAGGTTAATCCCGAGTCCCCCAGCACAAGTGGAGAGGATGAACACAAAATGAGTCGACCTCAGCAAACCACAAACTACACTTCGAAAATACCTGTCCTATATGGTCACATCTTCTGTTCGCACCTGTCGTATATAATCACAGTGTCAGCAGTGGCGAGGTTGATCCCCAGCCCACCAGCGCGCGTGGAGAGCAGGAACACAAAGCGGCTAGACCCGGGAGCATTGAACCGGTCGATTCGCTGCTGCCGGTCCGTGCCGCTCACGCTGCCGTCTATGCGCTCACACCCCCAGCCCTGTGGGACAGGAAATTCGGTTAAGGGGATGGAGGGAGTGGTTAGTAGGAGTAATAAGAAGAAGACTGGGCCACAGTGCGTTGAACCAATCGATGCGCTGCTGGCGGTCCGAGCCGCCACTGGTGCTGCTGCCAATGTGCTCACAACCCCAGACACCCCTGACGGATGGGGTGTTTGGGTAGGGGCGGAAGGAATGGAGCACACAGTGGCTGTGGGAGTGGAGGAAGGGTTCACCCCAACCCGCTGGATGCACACAGTGGGTGCAGTGAGTTGGATCGTCAGGCTCCCACAGTGGTGGGAGGGTAACAGAATCAGGCTCCCATCAGAGCGCTGCTGGAGGTCCGAGTGAGCTTATAAGCTCCGATTGTCTGTCAACTTGCTTTACATCTCCACTCCACCTGGCTGGACGAAAAAAGCGGCTAACGTTGCCAGCCAGCCAGCCGCTGCTCAGCAGCAGATCGAGCACGCGCTTGAACTGCACGGAGAAATCGGCCAGGTCATTAATTGAGTCACGTGACTCATCCATCCATCCATCCAACCCAGCTCGCCTCACCATCCCCGCCTTGCTTCATCAAATCAGTACCTAAGAATCACTCACCTTGCCCATGAGCCACCCACCTTGCCCATGAGCCACCCACCTTGCCCATGAGCCACCCACCTTGCCCATGAGCCACTCCTGCAGCAGGTCGGTCCAGCATGCGCTTGAACTGTGAGTACACCAGCACGACCAACTCAGTTCTGAGATTCCTTACTTTCCAGTCCCACTCTACTCTAATGATAGTGATTCACCTTCCCCTCCCCACCACCCAGCTACCCACCTTGCCCAGGAGCCACTCCTGCAGCAGGTCCAGCATGCGCTTGAACTGCGAGTACACCAGCACAGCTGAGTCAGCTCACAGACACCAGCACAGTCCAGCTGAGTCAGCTCACAGACACCAGCACAGCTGAGTCAGCTCACAGACACCAGCACAGCTGAGTCAGCTCACAGACACCTGCAGATTCACATGAGATCCGCTATTCCAATCCCACTCAACTCTAGCCAAGCCACTCACCCACCTTGCCCATGAGCCACCCACCTTGCCCATGAGCCACTCCTGCAGCAGGTCCAGCATGCGTTTGAACTGCGAGTACACCAGCACGCGATGCCCCCCGCTTTCAGCCGCTCCAGCATTCGCTCCAGCAGAGCCAGCTTGTCTGATGCCACCACCATGCGCCTGGGAGGGAAGTGCATGGAGAGGAACAAGGGACAGGGAGGGAACAGGGGCAAGGTGAGTGCACCAGCACAAGGTGCCCCGGCCTTGAGCTGCTCCAGCATTCGCTCCAGCAGAGCCAGCTTGTCTGATGCCACCACCATGCGCCTGGGAGGGAAGGGACGTACACAGAAGGTGAGGACAGGGGACAGGGGAAGGGAGGGAATAGAGGTGACGGGCATTGCTACCGTGTGTGTGGCGCTCCAGAATTCGCTCCAATTGGGACGTTTAGTTGGATACTACTGCCATATTGGTGCGACTTTTGAGAAACCTCAAAAGTCGCACCGACATCCAGTAGGATGCTGCTACCATATGCCGGGGAAAGAAGACAAGTACATGGAGTGAGAGTGTGCCAGCAGGAGAGGGTGAGTGAAAACCCTCCTTTCCCACTTCTTCCTCGTGCCCCTTCCATGGAACGGGTGCCAGCACATCTTCCTTAGCTGTGGTCTCTCTGTGCGGCCATTTCCCCCCCCCCACCCCACCGTCACTAACCGGCTGGCTTCTGCTGGGGTATCTCCGCCTCCGTGCTGCTCCTCCACGCCCTCCACCAGGAACGGGTGGCAGCACACCTTCCTCAGCTGCATCATTGTGTTTGTGAGGGAGACCTGGGGGGGGGGTGAAGGCAAGGTAATAACAACGGGAGATGAGAAGAGGCGATGCAGACAGCACCCCCTCCACGCCCTCCACCAGGAACGGGTGGCAGCACACCTTCCTCAGCTGCATCATTGTGTTGGTCAGCGATACCTGAAGGGGGGACATGAAGGGAAGGCGGGTGGGAGGGGGAGCAGGCGGGTGAGTACCGTACCGGGCACAGCAGGAACAGGTGACACTCTTTGCGCCCTTCACCAGGCACGGGTGGCAGCACACCTTCCTCAGCTGCATCATTGTGTTGGTCAGGCATACCTGTGACTCGTGAGGGGAGATGAAGGTAAGTAAAGGGTGGTAACAGCCGTATACGCTGAGTAAGGGGAGAAAGTTGAGGGTAGCACACGTATAAGCACAGCCGTGCTCCATGAATGGAACGCACCTGCTGCCCGGACGCCTTGGTAAGCACCTGGTAGTTTGTGATGCGAGTGAGCACAGTGCAGTGCTGCTATAAGTAAGGAGCAGAAGTACAGCGTTCCCTGCGTAAAACGTACCTGCTGCCCCGACGCCTTGGTGAGAACCTGGTAGTTGCAGGTGAGCACAGCACGGTGCAGCGAGCGATCCCAAGTAAAGACGACAAGCACAGTATTACGTGTTCGGTGCAGTGGTGTTTGTAAGTAGCAGGTGCAAGTACGGCACTCCGTGTGCACAATGTACCTACCTGCTGCCCAGACGCCTTGGTGAGAGCCTGGTAGTTGCGGGTGAGCACAGCTCGGTACAGCGAGCGCTGCAGCGGCGCCAAGTCCACACGCAGAATCTGCTCCTTCTTGGGCGGCATCTGCTTCAACACGTCCTTCTTCAGCCCTGGGAGAATACCGGGTGGAGAGTGGACGGGGAAAGAGAAATGGAGAGCAACATATAAGGTGGTGGTGAGGGTGTCATTTTCATGGCTCTGCTCCTTCTTGGGCGGCATCTGCTTCAACACGTCCTTCTTCAGCCCTGGGAGAAGAGAGTGAGGGGGGAAGGACAATGTCCAATATAAGGAACCTCGTCTGATGAGCAAGAGCTTCACGACCAGAGGTTTGAAGCATAAGGCTCAGAGTTTAAAAATTCAGGGTCTTTAAATTTAGAGGTCGGGGTATCGATTCAGATGTGTTTACATGTGGTGAGGTGTGAGCAGGTGATGCAGCTTGGCCACTCGCTACTGTGCCATGCATGTAGAGCGAGCAACGGGATCAACAACGAGAGGAGCAAGAGCTTCAGCCACTAGGGTTCAGGGCCTTGGGCTTGGAGTTTGGGGTTTGTGGCTATGTGGAGAAAGACGCGTCCAGCGTCCTGGACATGCGTCCAGAAGCGTCCAGACGATGGACGCTAGTTTAGGGCCCCCGAGACGCAGCAAAAGACGCAGGTCCGGGCAGCCAGAAAAAAACCCCCGGGCAGCCAAAAAAAAGTTGGGCTTTGTGGGGTTTTCATGAACTAAATGGGCTTTGTGGGGGTGGTGGACCACAAAGGTTGGGTTTCCTAGTTGTGGAGTGGTGGAGAGGGGTTGGATTTCCAAATCAATTTTGCAAAAAGGGGAGGGGGTTAGGGTGAATGAATAGATGGCTGGTTTGGGGGTCGAATTTGCTTGGGGGGTGTCGAATTTCGGCGAAATTGACATTCGCGACGAAATCGCGAATGTCAATTTCGCGATCGCGAAAAAAAAAAAAAAAAATCTCGGTCTGCCCGAAAAAATTTCCAGGGTGCGTCCCGCGGCCGGACGCGCGTCCTGCGTCTTTGCGTCCCGGACGCAGGACGCAGGGCTGCCCCAGCGTCTTTCTCCACATAGGTTTGTGGTTTCAATTCAGGTATGCTTACGCCTGAGCAGGTGTGGCGCTAGCAGGTGGTGCAGCTTGGCCACCTGCTGCCATGCCGAGTATGAATAACAAAAGCAACAAGAGCTTCAGGGTCTGGGGATCGGAGCTAGTGGTTTTGATTCAGGTATGCTTACGCCTGAGCAGGTGTGGCGCCAGCAGGTGATGCAGCTTGGCCACCTGCTCCTCCTGCCCCAGCTGCTGGAACTCGCCCTGAAACCCCTCCAGACTCGCAAACTGCCGCCAGGGTGTTATGGTGCAAGGGCACCCGGAACATAGCATGGGAGCACACCGGGGAAGGGACACAAGGCAAGGGGGTTATGGTGCAAGGGGCAACACGAACATAACACAGAAAGACACGGGGCAAGGCAGGGAAAGAGTTCGAGTGGGGTTGGGGGCAAGGGAATGGTGCAGCTTTTCTCTAAGGGAATGCAAGATAGCTACA